TCTCTTGCTGCTGCTTCTCTTGCTGCTGTACAATGCTCGCTCCGGGCGCTCATTCGTCATCGTCTACAACATGGCCTACAATACTGAGATCCTTCTGGCTCTCGTCAGCCTCAGAGTCACGATCCGCTGGCTACTACTACTGCACCCCAAGTATCCAAAGTCCAACGAGTTCGTCGCAATGATCAGCTTCTCCTCGATCGTCATCGCCGAGTCGAGCTTGTTCCTGTGCATCCGCGGCTGCTGGGAGATCATATCAGTGAGGTACAAGAAGGCGAAGAAGAACAGGGACCGACCGAGATTTCTCCTGGAAACTAAGTCCAAGTTCTTCGTTGCCGTGTACGAGACGACGTTGAGAGATGGAGCCATCAAGGGGCTAAGGATGAACTTGGTCGACTACGTCGCGAACGAGTTCTTGGAATCGAGAGGCAACCGGGAGCTGAGGAAAAGCTTGTTGATGCTGGATGCAGTGTGCCACTGGGAAGAAGAAGATCAGAGAAAGCGAAGTGGGAAGCTCCTCTTGGCATCTAAGCGTCAAGTTGTGGAGCGGCTGTTCGAGTGCATGGGCGACAAGTACTATCTCATCTACCGGCGAGCGGCGATTTCTCTAGTGGCCGAGATCTGCGAAGATGAAAACGCCTTCTTCGCTGTGGCACACGTCGTCCAGGCCAGTGATGAAGGCGTCTCGCTTCTGGTGAAAGCGCTGGAGCCGGATACCAACAAGTCGGTGCTGGAGCTGCTAGGAAAGCTTGCGGCATTTGGAGGGATTGCCAATGCCGAGCCGGGTGTGATCGCGAACTTTGATTTTGCGCAAGGGGATATGGACAAGAAGTGGAAGGATTCTCTCAGGAATGGCGAATGGATCATCTCCATCGATGCAGGAGATGATCCAGCCCGGGTTGATGACGAGCCAGAGATCCAGAGCTCCAAGCAGAAGATCGCAGCGAATTTGAGGACGCTACTCAGGAAGAATCACGACTTGACAAGGTACCTCGCGAATGCTCTCTTTTGTTCCTCCCAGGAGCTCCAGGAGCTAGCTCTAGACGCTCTCGCGGCATTGCTAGCCTATGATCCCAGCCATGGTGATCTTCTCCCTGGCTACAAGAGCGTCATCTATGGATTGTTCCAACTCCTCCGTACCTGCCAAGCTGATCCACTAGGAAGCAAAGTGGCAGTAGTGCTGGATCTTCTCTGCCGCAAGAATCGCCAGTACCTTGAAACGCTACTCGATGGAAGCGGCAGTAGCAGTGACGACGTTATAGCAGTTCTCATGAGCGCGCTCTCCTTTGGTTTGGATAATCACGATGGCGAGAGGAGCAAGCATGCAATGTCGATTCTGTGCAGCCTCCACGACCAGAAGCTGTTGAGCGAGGAGCAGGAGAAAGCGCTGGACATCGCAAAGATCGTGGACATGGTGACCACTATGACGAACTCAACACCAAGTGACCATGGCTTGACTGGGGAGAGCTCGACCACCCAACCCATGGAAGGGATTGATGTGGCATTAGAAGTAGCCGAGCTTTGGGGTTTAGCTGCGCGGCCATCACAATCCTCATCAGCTGTTCCGACGGCATCACGGATTCACAATCAACCAAGGTAGGATTTGGCAGATGATCTCTTGGAGAAGAGCACGCCAGTGCTGCATTGGCAAGATCCCCCAAATTCCCCGCAGAGGGAAACTAAACAGATCAGGATTCCAGAGATGCCGCAGCACAGCATTCAATTCTAAATCTTGCTAAATCAAAACTAATATATTCCCAATTGTTTGAAGCTTTGGCACGACTACAAGTCCAGTCAAACACACAAGTCTAAGAGAAACGTCAATGCAGCTTTAGAAAATTCTCTCATTCGGATTCTCTTTTCTGATTGCCACGCCACTGACTATTCCTGCTCGAACTGGAGCTTTTCTGTTGACGTACTAAAGATCCCGCTCTACGCGGGAATGGCGCAAGCAAGGAGGACGGATCCCGGAACTCGGAGTTTGAATAGTCGCAGGACGATCATCTTCCTCTGTCTGCCAGGAAGAAAGGTGATCAATGTACCTGAAAGATTTTCTAGCAAATCGTTTTGTGTTCGCTTGAAATGTTTTCCATTGAGAGTCAGGCCCCAGAAAAGTTGAAGAATGTACTGCTGTGAAAGTTATGGATGGATTCAGCAGGTACGCATGGGTCTGTTTTCTTGGCTCAACGGCCACTAGCCGTTCCAGAGCGTCTTTGGCTGATCATTACATTGCCAGCAATGAGCTTTTTCTAATCTATCATTCTCTCTGGCTGTTACTTAACGAAGATGTTGCAGGCTCGCGCTTTCGGCAGCGATGCTTGGTAAGCTTTCATCTTTCGAGGCGTCGAGTATTGTATTCCAGGCATGTCCTCAAAGACGTTGTCGAGATGCCCGACG